TGTATTTAATTGAATTCTAATTTATACGTTAAGCTGAGGAAATTAATTTGAGTGCAGAATGATTTGCACAACTTTTTACAACCTGTTACAATATGTTAGTTGTACAATGAAAATTTTTTAAATTCTATAACGGAAATAATTCTAGCCTGAACAATTTTCAATTTCTTTTTTATACTCAATTTTTATAAACCTCATGTTCTTAATTTTTGAAATTATACAAATTTTGTTCAATTTGTTTTTACTTATATTAAGTCAAGTTTAACTGTTAAGTCAAGTTTAAATGTTATATTGCTGACAAAAATTCATGTACATTTTTATAAAAACATTTTTGCAAGGTTTGTTTAATTGATCTTCAATTTTGCGCAAAAATGTCGATTTTAAAGCTGAACAGTTATTAAATGTTACATTCTTTTTTCAATAAATTTCTATCTTAAATCCGAGTTTGATTAAAAAATCAAACTAGTTTGCTCCGGTTCCCTGTATTTTATATCCCATTTATTTAACTGGTCTCGCGGCGAAGAGGAAATAACAAGCGTATTTCAAGCTTCGCAGTAGAACAACTTTACAATTATAATTGCACAATTAGAGTCCCATGGCTATGGTGATACGTATCTGTGATTCGATAAACGGACTACGCTCCAAAGGGTAGCTGAATTAAAAAGGATTCCACTGATTTCAGATAGTTCAGGCAACGAACGCTTTCAGAATTAAAACTACTCGAATAATGAATAAACATCCAGGCGGAAAAGAATGAAAGAGGATAATCACTGCGGTCAGCGTCGGTATTAACTTCCCGATTTTTCGCAAAAACTCCGGTTAAAACAACTCGAACAATTATTCCACGAACTTGATATGTTAAAAGAATTATTAAACGGAACATATAAATATATTATTGTTCAACTTTTTATTTTATGTATATTCTTTTCTCTTGTTAAGTTTGTTTCTTGTAACAAAGAAATATTTTTGTAAAAATTTGAATTGAACGGCGGCCATTTTGTCGCAGGGAGAGCAGACTCTGCGTGCAGATATTCACTTTTCAGTTAAATTAATAAAATACTTTAATTTATGCATTAAATTAATAAAATATTATTGAAATATGGTTTGAAAACTCATTGAAAAGTAAGAAAACTTAATTTTAAACTATTTAAACTGTATAACTCTAGATTTACATTAGGTTAGTTAATCTACATGCAAACATAACCTAAAATTATTTCTTAACCCAGCAAAAATTATTTATAATATTAAAATGTTGAAAACTTGTTTCTCTAAATAAAAGAAGGGGTCGAACAAAATATTTACAAAATATAATTACATCTTTTTAATTAATCTACATGCAGACATAACCTAAAATTATTTCTTAACCCATCAAGAATTATTTATCATATTAAAATATTAAAAACTTGTTTCTCTAAACAAAAGAAGGGGTTGAACAAAATATTTACAAAATATAATTATATTTTTTTAATTAATCTACATGCAGACATAACCTAAAATTATTTCTTAACCCATCAAGAATTATTTATCATATTAAAATGTTAAAAACTTGTTTCTCTAAATAAAAAAAGGGAACGAACAAAATATAATTTTTGTTTAATACAAATAAGGATCCGTGAAGATAGCAGGGCAGAATTTTTGAAGTATTCGAAGAAAATCTTGGGATAAACAGGCTTGGAATAATACCAACTATCTTTATTACGGTAATTCTGTTGGTGCGTTGCTCAGATCAATTGTGTTGCATTGCTCACGGGCAATAATAAACGGCCTGAACGTGTCCCGCTGAACAGTGGGCTAAGATCCAGGACATTTATCATAAGATTAACAGTTCACGCGATTTTTGCGTTCGTAACTAAAAATATTTGTCGTGGGTGCTCAGCACATTTCCTTTCTCGATTTCTGCAATGAATTTACTCTCTGAAGTATTTAAAAATTTGATTAACAAAGCTTTTAAATTTTATTAGTCTTTGCTTTCAAATTACAAACTACACGCTGTTGATTTTGAATCATTGAACGTGTTTGTGTAAGTTATTAATTAACGTCCACGATTTATTTTATTAACTCAAGCATCATTCGAAACAAAGCCATTGATTTGGCCCATAAATCACCGATTATGGAACTTTCGAACAATGCGAGCATTGAGAAACGACTCGTTAGAGACACAAAGAACTTACCGCAACCGTGAACAGTGCAATAATTAGCGATTAAAACGATCATGCTATATTTCTAATACATCGATGCCAATTAGACCTGCCATCTACAGGAAGGAAACGGCTATTAATCATTCTTCGTTTTCCAACTTTAATTCCATAGACGTTCTTCAACAATTAGAAATTTTGTAACATCTAAAATCATTTAATCTGTAACATTATTTATTTTGTAACATTTAAACTCATTTTTTGACATCTAAAAATCTGTCGATACCTGACAAATTATATTTATTGTTCATTAGAAATTTTGTAACCTCTATAATCATTTATTTCGCTACATCATATATTTTGTGACATTCAAACTTATTTTGTAACATTTAAAAATCTGACAATATGTAGCTGACAAATTATATTCATTGGTTATTAGTATATGTACTGGTTATTTGTATATTGTATACATTGGTATACATTGTTATTCACAATAACCCGAAAAGTATTTAATCGTTCTTGCACTTAAATTTCTGCTTTAATTTCTGAAACAACGCTGGTTTTTTACAATAAACCTTCGACAAAATATAAGTTCGAAGTAAATGCACTTGGTCGAGTGAATTTTGAAAATATTCCACTGGAAGTCTGACACAATCTAGCGACAATGGGCTATTTCTCTTGTAATGATTATTAAAAATCACGGAGGAATTTCAAGCCCCGGCTATTTCGCGGAACAAAAGTTCCATTTTCGAATTCGAATCGACCAACCAACTGAACAGTTTAATGGGCTAAATTCCGGAAGTTCAAGGCACATCGCAGAGGAGGTTCGCGCACGTACCTGCGGCATCAAAGGCTGCGTATCGGTAGGAACGTTACGAGTGCTGATTTTTTGCGCATCGTTTCTTCCGGCCCTCCTTCCCTTCCTAACCTTTTCTCTCTTTTTTTTCCCGCACGATGCACATGATTATCATTGTCGACGGAAACCGACAATCCATTGATGCACGACGTCTGCGTTGTCAACGACGACCCCCCCATGGTCCGGTATTGCCGTATATTTTATACAGGTTCCATTTTTCTCGCGGATGTTCCATTATGGCTTCGCTCGACATCCTCTGCCATTGGTATTAATATTTACGGAAGAGTGGGGAAACGATCAACGGTGGTGGCTACACGCTTCAATAAGTTGAACAGAGGTTTTACTGACATAACCTTGCAAACGTGAAAAAGATTCCGGAATGATTCATAGTATCACGTGGTACAATTCGGTGAAATTTTAAGCGTAGGTTTTGTTGTATACCATGTTTCAATGGATAAGAGGAACCATGTTTTTTTTGGATAATTTTGCGAATTCCAATTCGGTAATTACCGAAACATAGGATCTGGAATGTCTGTCTCCTGGACCCTGTTTCTCCCTCACCTCCTATCTGGAACCCTTTATGTATTGCACCCTTTCCTAGAAGTCATCCCCAGTTTCCTACTCCCAAGAGCTATTAGTCTAAACAATATGGCTGCCAAACGCAGCAAACAATCGATAGCGAGCTTGGCACGCTAACTGGCTGTATAATTTAATTAAGACTATTAAATGCGAAATCGAACATCACTTTCGAACCGTTTTGCGCCACCATCTTACTCTACCTAAACTACGTCTTACAACTGACTTCGTTTTTACAACTGACTGACTATTTATTATTAACTTTAAATTAATTATGCAGCTTATTAACTATTTATCAATTGATGACCCGAATTTTCAGGATAGGTTATGAAATAGGTTAGTAGGTTTTGTAGGTTATGAAATGAAATTACTGCTGCAACTATGTCTTACGAAATCTGTAACACATCTAAAATTAGACACTTACAGAGATTTTCACATGTTAGATAGTGTTTGTCAATAAATTATTATTTCAATCAGAAAATGTTACTTTGAGTATTTCAATACATGCGTACCATCTTAAGGAAATTACATCGGTGATATAATTTCACACAAATTTTGAGGTTAAATCCCTGTGACGTGACAAGTAGATAAATGTCTATGTGATAAGTAGACAAATGTTTAACATTGAAATTATGAATGTAACAAGAAAAACCCCGAATTAAAATATTACTCATACAAGGACAGAGTAGTCCCAGCGGTGTCGGAGCAGCCTGTTGCTCGTCTCTCTATAACGAAAACACTTGGAACACCTAAAACGATTTGAGCTATTTTAAGGGATCAGACCTAATAAGAACATCTGGAGCGTATACATTATCATCTAAAAATATCTTTCAATGTTCTTGGCCCTACGATGACACATCGTCCATACAAAGCCACCTGATTTCTATGAATATCTTTGGATGACAGAAAGCTCACGATGTCACCAACGCTATCTTGAGGACTATCTTTTTGTGTAGAGGGATGAGACATCCGGTTCGAGGGTTACATGTCCCTTTCCATTGTTAGACCAAATAGAGATACACCATTGACACCCGTATTAGACAGCCGAAAAAGTTAACTGACTAGCTGATGTGGTTAGTGATTCGGCAGAACAGATTATTGGCAGTGCGAGGCAGAAAAGAGTTCTTAGTCAGCGGCGAAAGCTCAAACGAGCCATTATCGATCAGCGGTAAAGGACACATCAACAGATTTAGCGTCGGGATGAATTTTTAAAGCGTAGCTTAACCTGTTGCTGTATAACATCCTGAACAATCAAAGACAGTTCCCAGCTCGGTCCGAGACCAAGATAATATTGTACAGCTTGGCTCTTTGAGACCTTATCATAAGCACAAAATACGACCTGTCTCTTCCGGCAGACGTCTGATCTTCACCGCTTGCGAGTAGGTCCGAAAAAAGGCGGGAAAACTGGAGTGACAACTGGAAACTGAGGTACTCACCTTTCTTGGGTATCAGGGACTTAAGCAGCATTACAGCGTTGTCGTCGCAAGCCCAACCATGCATCTTCCTGTAGCTGTCCCGTCCTTTTTCTGTCAATTTGTCCCATGGCTTTGGTTTGCTTAGCAACTCGCTAACGGTTCCTTGGCTCAGACCGAGAACGTACTTTGCAAACAGTCTTTGACCGATGTTGTGTATGGACAGCAGTTCCCGAACCCTCCTGGCTATGTGCAGCGTATCCAGGTTCTGCGACGCGTACTTGTCCATGTTGTACCGAAGCATCTCTTGTAATCTGGCTTCCATGGGGTCACCCTTCGGGATAAGCGACTCGCCCAATCTGCCGGCCATGCCTGCAGCGCCGAACTCGTCGCTAAATCTGAACGGATGCGTTCTCTCGTCGAAACGAAATGGATTCTTGAGTGTGTCCAGCACACTTAGGCCCCCGATGTTGTTATTGGTCAGATGATGGCTGTTGTTATTGTTATTATGACACGATTCTTGGTCCGCGGGACTCTTTAGCGGCGGTACGGTCGGTATAGCGGGTGTCATGCTTCCACCGTTGACGGAGGCCGACGAGGTAGACGTGTCGACCATCGTCGTGGGTGGTTGAAAGCTCGGTGGCGATGTTAACGCAGTTGTGGAGGATGGCGTCGGTGGGGCAGGCGTTTCGTGGCCGGACACCGGTGTCGGAGCCTTCTCGGCATCAAGGCAACTCAGTGGAGTGGTTCCTAACGGGGTATTCGACTTGGCTGGCGTGTTGGAGCTGGACGATGGGTCCGTTGGCGAAGATAGATGATTTAAGCTAGTAGTGGTAGTTGGAGGGTGCAAGCCAATTAGTGGTTGAGCTTGCTGCAACTGTTGCTGCGAGAGTTGACCCAGTGGAGTCATCTGTTGTTGTTGTTGTTGTTGTTGCTGCTGTTGCTGCGGCTGCTGTTGTTGCGGTTGAGGTTGGTGCTGTTGTTGTTGTTGTTGCTGTTGCTGCTGCTGATTCATGATGGACCTCTCCAACGACCGCCTCCAGTTGGCGACGATCTCTTCACCGAGAAAGGAGCCGAAGGTTTCGACATTTTGGAGAGGAGGCGGGAAAAGGAGACTGGACGTCGTCGAGGTGGCTGATGAGGGTGTGGGAGTGGAACGTGGAGGAAGGGAGAAATCAAAGACAGTTCCCAGCTCGGTCCGAGACCAAGATAATATTGTACAGCTTGGCTCTTTGAGACCTTATCATAAGCACAAAATACGACCTGTCTCTTCCGGCAGACGTCTGATCTTCACCGCTTGCGAGTAGGTCCGAAAAAAGGCGGGAAAACTGGAGTGACAACTGGAAACTGAGGTACTCACCTTTCTTGGGTATCAGGGACTTAAGCAGCATTACAGCGTTGTCGTCGCAAGCCCAACCATGCATCTTCCTGTAGCTGTCCCGTCCTTTTTCTGTCAATTTGTCCCATGGCTTTGGTTTGCTTAGCAACTCGCTAACGGTTCCTTGGCTCAGACCGAGAACGTACTTTGCAAACAGTCTTTGACCGATGTTGTGTATGGACAGCAGTTCCCGAACCCTCCTGGCTATGTGCAGCGTATCCAGGTTCTGCGACGCGTACTTGTCCATGTTGTACCGAAGCATCTCTTGTAATCTGGCTTCCATGGGGTCACCCTTCGGGATAAGCGACTCGCCCAATCTGCCGGCCATGCCTGCAGCGCCGAACTCGTCGCTAAATCTGAACGGATGCGTTCTCTCGTCGAAACGAAATGGATTCTTGAGTGTGTCCAGCACACTTAGGCCCCCGATGTTGTTATTGGTCAGATGATGGCTGTTGTTATTGTTATTATGACACGATTCTTGGTCCGCGGGACTCTTTAGCGGCGGTACGGTCGGTATAGCGGGTGTCATGCTTCCACCGTTGACGGAGGCCGACGAGGTAGACGTGTCGACCATCGTCGTGGGTGGTTGAAAGCTCGGTGGCGATGTTAACGCAGTTGTGGAGGATGGCGTCGGTGGGGCAGGCGTTTCGTGGCCGGACACCGGTGTCGGAGCCTTCTCGGCATCAAGGCAACTCAGTGGAGTGGTTCCTAACGGGGTATTCGACTTGGCTGGCGTGTTGGAGCTGGACGATGGGTCCGTTGGCGAAGATAGATGATTTAAGCTAGTAGTGGTAGTTGGAGGGTGCAAGCCAATTAGTGGTTGAGCTTGCTGCAACTGTTGCTGCGAGAGTTGACCCAGTGGAGTCATCTGTTGTTGTTGTTGTTGTTGTTGCTGCTGTTGCTGCGGCTGCTGTTGTTGCGGTTGAGGTTGGTGCTGTTGTTGTTGTTGTTGCTGTTGCTGCTGCTGATTCATGATGGACCTCTCCAACGACCGCCTCCAGTTGGCGACGATCTCTTCACCGAGAAAGGAGCCGAAGGTTTCGACATTTTGGAGAGGAGGCGGGAAAAGGAGACTGGACGTCGTCGAGGTGGCTGATGAGGGTGTGGGAGTGGAACGTGGAGGAAGGGAGACTGCTGCTGGGGGTGGCGGCGGTGGTTGCTGGGAGGACAGGTGGGGCGAAGGCGGCACACCCCCGACCCCGTGAGGTGAGGCGGTAGAGGCGCGCTGCAGGGGTGACGATAGTCCACCTGCAACCACCAAAAACACAAGGGACCGCGTCAACACGAGCTCACACACGCGCGTGACCTAACGGTTTTCGATACTGATCAACCGGGTCCCTTTCGTGTCTGTCGTGACATCCTAAGTTCTTCAGTGGCCTCCTGGACGATAGACGACGACCGAGACTCTCTTTTTCGACGCTTCGTCGCTTGGTCCACTCAAACGAGGAACAACGTGGCCCAACGAGAGGAAAAGTGTCGCGCACCGGGTACGGTTTCCTCGTCTTTTTTCAAAGGAATCCTTGTTGCGACCGGGTTCTCGAACAGTTTACAGATTTTTTTGCTAGAGAAGCTACGAAAGGAGGATAACGCTTGGAACCCAGATACGATGATTGGCTTTCCTTCTCTGCCGCGGCGTCTCTCTCGCTCTGTCATTCTTTTCTCATTCCCGATCGATTCGTGAAACGCATTGACCCGGATAAATATTGTCGAATACTGCCCACGAATTTGCGTGTACGCTTTTCCCCAGCGTGCAGACGGTCGTAGTCGGGGCTCCGGGCGACATGAGGTGGACTTGGGGGATGTCCGTGATGTTTTGGTAAGGAGTTTGGGTCAACGTGCGGGTCACGGTTACGTTAGTACCTTCTACAGGGGTACGTTAATTCACGTACCAGCGAGAGAGCAGCTCGAAAAGTGTGCAATCTAAGCAGTACAGGATCTCAGAATTAGGCAGAGGAAGAAAGACAAAGATAAAGACGGAGGTAGAGCTAAAGAGAGAGAAAGAAAAATAGTGTCAGAGAATGATAGCGTTACCGTTAGCGACAGAGATAAAGTAAAAACAGGACCAATAGAACAGAACGTTTATTAGTAAAGAGATTGGGAAAGACGAGGAAGATAAAAGTTAAAGAACACAATGGCAAGCAAGAGTTATTTTGTTGTTCCTTTTCTCTCGGTAAGCTCCTTCAGTCATCCCTCGTTCTTTATAAAAGCGTCCGCGTTGCGTGACTCGTGTCCTTTTTTTCTTTTTATTACTATTATTATTATTACATGGAGCCCTTCGACGTAGCCTCGAAGAGAGAGAGAGTCGGGGATCGAAGACCAGTTCAGCGCAGGAATTAGTAGCAATACCAGAAAGGTTTCAACTAATAACTTTCGCACAATTCCTGATCTAAGCATGATTCGTTCCAGATCGAATTACTTTTACGCGAATTGATGAACGATATCCGTAATCTGAGCGGTGACAGAAAATTGATTAGCTGCGACTTACCGAGCGCATCCGGGGTGCTGGATGGTTTCAGGCTCTCGGTTTGCTGAAGCGCCTTCGAGCGTTCCATCAGAAGGTGTTCCAAGCTCTTGCCAGGCTCACCGGTTGGAATTTGCGAGAGATCGACGGACTTCAGCGCGTTAATTTCGCGTTTCAGGTCGTCATAGTCCCTCTGTCGCTCCAGTTTGCTCTCCAGTCTGCTGATGTGCTGTCTGCGTGCCTCCAGTTCTTCCTCCAGTCGAGCTGTCGCCTGTGCGCTGGTCTCCTGGAGACGCTGCAGGCTCTGCTGCAGTCTGGACACCTCCTCGACCAATTGGCTAATCTGAAATGCAAAGTTTCGCTTCGTTAATAATGCCGTCCTAAAAGAATAATCAGACCGCGATCAGCTTATTAATTAATAACACATCTACTCAGGAACTACTAGTTCACCTGTTTCAACTTGTCACGAGTCGGACACGAACGTAATTACATTACCATCGATACAAATATAGAATCATATTCACGGAATCCAACTCCGCCCCCGTGAATCCCTGCGATCTGCTTCGGGAGCCGTTTATCAGCGGGTAAGGAGCTTAGCAGAAGCTCTTTATTAATTTTATCGAATCGATTGCACAGAATCGATATTGGCCGCTTAACAGGCCAGATAGCTTGAAATCTCGTCGGTTCTGAATGTAATTACCGGTATATTGAGTTAAGATTCGTCTACGCTCGGTCTGGAACAAGTCTTCGACCTGCGTGGGTCATTGGCTGGCCACGTTACGTTCTCTAACGGTGCACAGTGCCTATAATTACTATGAATTGACTATAGAAATGTTCCGTTGTAATTTTTTCTGAAAATCATCAATGTTAGCTCTATTAGTGCGTTTGGTCTAATCTTCATTGGGGTATTGGCAATTTTATATAATATTTATTTCACTTATTATATATTTGATATTTTTTAGAACAGTTGGTTTGTGTTTAACAATATGCTCCATGTTAGAACAATGTATTAAGCAATCAAATTAGCAAATAATTCGACAGATGAAATCCCGTCTCGTGAAAAATTGATTCCGTTAATCGTACATCCACAAAGATACGAGTTCGGGAAGCATATCAATAATAAAAGTATTATTCCCCCGCCCATTGAAAGTAATCAATCGAATGAGAATTCGAGTCCCATCTAGCTGTTTCATTCGCTCCATGTGAATAGGCACAATGAACGCGTGTTGGAAAACGCGATCAGAAAGAAAGGGTGCAACCAGGGTGAAAAGAGGAGAAAGAATAGACAGGGGCAAATGGGTGAAAAAAGGAAAATGAGTGGCAGATCGGGCATAGAAACAAAGGGAAAGAGGAATAAGGGGAGGGGCTTAGAATGAGACAGATATTGGTGGAAGGAAAAATTATAGCTAAATTAAGGGTTGAAGTTAAGGAAGGTGCTTAAATTTTATTTTTACTTGGTTATCAGTAGTTTTGGTGTTTTGCTTATTGGGGTTCACAAGGATTCAAGGAATTAGGATTCAAGAATTCAAGAATCGAGGATTCTAAGATATCTATAAATAGTAGAAGAGATTTCACTTAATGTATCATTAATATCTTTGTAATTGATAGCTAATTAAATTTATTAGTCACCTGTTATCCTGCACAATAAATTTTATACTGAAATACTAAAAATTATCTTTTGTTTCATATACGTCAAATACAGTTTAGTAATATAATATATTTAGTTACCCTGTCTTAATAACAAGATTCTTATGAGAAAATTAATGAATATGAAAGATATTAAAATTTAATGAAATTAAAATATTATGAGTGAATTGTCGATGTAAATTATTTGTCTAATTTAAATTTAAATTTATATTGTAAAATATAATTTCTGAGGGGTGCACTTTCCCTTATAATCCATTTTTAAAGTGTTAAAATATTTATGATGAGACAACAAATGATAATTTTGTTCGAATAACATCGTTTAAATTTATTTAAAGTTCAAATAGAAATTTTAATACTTTCATTGAAAATATTGAATTAAGAGATGAATGGGAGTGTGAAGCTGAGATAAGATCATGAACGGGGTCGCATAATTAGAGAAATGGGATGGATTCGATTACGAGTAATATTAGAATCGTTACATTAATAGGACTCGTCTATTATCTATTGATCGAGAGTCATTATTAATTTATGCTAGCCATCATCGACCGATCTGTCGACACGAAACACCTCACCCTATTATCGAAAAGTGTTCATCACTTACATTCCTACGAAACCGACATTTTCTTTCATATTTTTCCTCTGAAGACAAGAAATAAAAATTAAATTACATATGTATGATATGTTTCTGCACTGACTAAAAATAAAATGCAAATAGACTAAGAAAAATACTAACTTTAAAAATTAATTAATTATTACATTTTATTATTAGTGTGATGTTTGTTAAATCATAACAGTTGTATAAATACAATAAAATAGTAATTAATACTGTTACAGTTCGAACAAATGAAAAAGTAACAGGAAAATGAAAATACAATAACAAATTTTTATTTTTTAATTTTCAACTTATAAATAACAAATGAATTTACAAGTAAATTTTCAAAAATATTAAAGACATGAGAGACTATTTTTTAGCTCTTTGGCTAGTGACAAATTTATAATAACAATACAAGAAAATAAAAATACCGAAAAAGTATAGTGCTTCATTTTGAGCGTTAAAGTCTTAAAAATTCGTAATAAAAACATCGGAAAAATATAGTGTTACATTACGAGCGTTAAAGTCCCAAAAATTCGTAATAACAATCCAAGAGCTTAAAATACCGAAAAAGTATAAAAGTACCAAAACTTGTCAACCAAATATTACGGGTGTTACCAGCAACCTTGCAAAATATAACGGAAAAAGTATAATCAGTATTTTGCAGCAATTCACATTCGTAATTCCCTAGAAAGTAGGGGTGTCGCGAGGGTGGTTTCCTTACGGGGCAAATAGTGACGAGGAGGGGGTGGCGTGATCAATCGCGATGAATCGCGAAACGTTCGGAAGTTCCGAATCGGAACCCATCCACGTGTTACTCGACCGGTTATATTCGACGAAAATATCTGTAGCGAAGGGTGTGCAAAGGGTAGCCCAGGGGTTGGAAAGAGCCCCGACAGCAGCCGAGAGAGAGGGAGAGGACGATTTTAAACCTGAATGCGTTTTGCACGGTGCAACGGGCGATGCGAACGAGATCGTATCAATTGTTTTTCCCCGGTGAGGCATCATCCCTTTTCCGGGGGTTAATTGAGGAGCAAAGCTTCAATTTCGCGGAATTCACGCCTCCGGCGTGCATCGACAGGTCTAGCCAATAGAATGAGCTGCGGATTTAAAAAACATCGGTTCTTTTTTCTTTCTTTGTTTTTATTTGCAACGGTGTTCAATAAACAAATTTTGCGCCTCTTTTCGTCTTCTCTTTGTTCGTTTGATGGGGGATGAGGAAATCGAGATTGGCGCGAATGTTGGAAGCAGATTATTTCCTGGACAGATTAATTCTATCGATTATATCTGATTGCATTTCTTTTAAGGATATGTATCAAAGATTTAATGTATAAAGATTTAAATTTCGATAATGAATTCATTTTTAGTATAAATTCTGTAAAATTTATTAGGTGATTATTAAAATTGATTTGAAAAAGTCTAGGTTTGTTTATCAATTTCTAATTTCGTATCAAAGATTTAATTCGTTTTTCTTAATTTCATAAGCGAACTTAATTAAACAAGCTTATTAAAATATTTATTAGAGAATTTTTTCTGACTTTGATTATAAGAGTACGCCATTTAAAAAATCATCATTGAATTTAATTAAACAAGCTTAACTAAAATATTTATTAGAGAATATTTTTTGCAATTGATCACAAGAGTTCCTCCGCCATTTTAAAAATCATCATTGAATTTAATTAAACAAGCTTAACTAAAATATTTATTAGAGAATATTTTCTGAAATTGATCATAAGAGTACGCTATTTTAAAAATCATCATTGAATTTAATTGAACAAACTTAACTAAAATATTTATTAGAGAATATTTTCTAAAAATTGGTCGCAAAAGTTCCTCGGTCATTTTAAAAATCACCAATGAATTTAATTAAACAAGCTTAACTAAAATATTTATTAAAGAATATTTTTTGACATTGATCATAAGAGTACGTCATTTTAAAAATCATCATTCAATTTAATTAAACAAGCTTAACTAAAATATTTATTATTTATAGACTGTCATCACATTCCTATAAAATTATTAACACATCTTAAGTATTACATAAGTAACTTAAATCACTAACGTCAATATTTAATAGTAATCATCAACAAAAATAATTAGTTACAATTATTATTCTTCAATAACAATTATTCCTTATCATATAATTTCAGTAGATTCACCAAACAGTTTAATCATACAACAGTTCATTTTATTATCGTAAAATAACTAATTTATACAACCAATTCACCAGAGTCAAGATCGAAGATCCTTGATAAAATACCGCGTTTTCTCACAGTTTTGTTTATTTAACACCGTCAATTGCCCTGCATCGTTCACAATCGATATACGTCTATAAGTTACTTTGTACGTCGCGATCACACGAAGGGGTTGCGAGGATACAGATAAGTACGCATCGATGTTCTATACACGCTGGTTGACTGAACCAGGGAGGGTGAGGGGGAGGTAAGTTCCCGAAGTTGCTCGTAATAATGTCCGCCATTAGCTATGGGGTAGGTTATCGCTTTGCGAGCGAAACCGAGAGGAAGGACAGCTGGAATTAACAACGTGTCGATATCGTTCAACTTACTTCGTGAATGCGACAATCGCATGAACGTGCGTGTCTTCTTCCCATGTTCAAAAATCTGATGGAATTCTGATTTTTATGTTTATAGAATCCACAATTTACATTTGTAGTAGAATCAACACGTCATATAAACGATAACTCTTAGACAATTGCGATAGGACTTAACATTTCAACCCCGAAAGATCTGTTTTATTATACATGCATGCATGTATGCATGTCTGAAGACAAAATAAATATATTCTGAAGACAAAATAAACAAATATAGAAATATATGTATTGTGAATGCTTCTGTATGATCACTGCTATCATAAAATATACAATACACCACTGTTATCATAATTTACCTAAAAACCTAGACATACCGGCAGACGCACCCTAAATAGCCAAACTCCAGAAATTCATCAACCATACAGGAAAGCTAATAGATTGTCCGACAGAAATTCCATTTGTGCAAGTTATTAGAAAGCAGCTGGCTCATGCATGTATCGATAACATCAACGTTTCTATCTGTCCGCGGATTCGTTAAATTTAATGTCCCCGA